GCTACCAATAGGTTTAAATATTGGAATTTTGAGCATGTTGTTGATTAGGAGAGCGCCAATATGAGCCGAAGGTCCAACTTTGAGATTCGAATAAAAATTATTTGACATTTTGCAAACTTACCTTTACCAAAAAACATTCCAGTTCCCAAAACCGCTGGAAGTGTAATAATTTTTACAAGAAATGTTTTGAAACTGAGAGGATCTTCTAAAGGAGTACCATTTAAAATAGCTAAATAATTATTCGAAAGATGTCACACATTCGAATAAAACTAATTTCAGTTGAAAACACTTACCTTTAATAGCTGGAATACCAGATCCCTCCGAAGCAGGCGCAATGAAAATCGTCATCATTAAACTCACATACATAAACACCAAATTAAACAAAATCCACAAAACTAAACGTAATCCGAAATAACTATTCGAATCGAATGCATTTATCAAAGTCAACCTTCCCTGAAACATGTATTTGACAATCAAATCATGCGTATAAATAATCACTCCACCAACAAATCCACAAACTGTTAGAAATGTCCAAGTATATTTCTTTCGTCTAATTCCTTTTAGACCTTTCTTCCAATTTTGAGTTTCTACATAATTTACATTCGAAGCATTCTTTAAATTTGTTAGAATTACTTTCGTTTCCATGTCGTCAAGAGTTGTTACGGTAGAGGATGCAGTCAATCCTGTTTTTTTGCTAGTTTCGTTTGGAGTGATTGTGCTATCCGAAACAACATTAGGTTTCGTCGACTGTTTGTTAGAGTCATCCTTTGTGTCGTCGTTATTGTTGTCGTTGTTGTGAATGGTCACGGTGGGTGAGACAACATCTGTGATCATTGCGTTTGTTGTTGTATTTTTTTTGCTTGAGAGAATCGTCCAATCTTTCGTATAAAACCATTTGGGGATTTTTTCAAAAGTGGTACCGTGAATTGATTTGTTTAGTACAGTGGAACTATATTTGAGTACATTGCATCTTAAATTGAATTTATATGTAAATTGTTGAAAATTTTGAGAAATCATTTTCTTTCATTCTTGTAATTCTTGTAAATTCAAAAAATTTATTTAAAAAATGACCACAGCAAAAGAAAATAAAAATTATCATTAATTAATGGTGGAAAGGAGATGTCAAACGCCACTTGACATGAAGTGAGACAAAGAAATGAAACTAAACTCCATACGATTCTTTCATATTTGTTGCCCAAAATTGCTTAGTGAAGAACTAATATCATACCAATCCAGTGATTGTCAATTTTCCTTGCCTTTTGCAATCAAACTCATCAAGAAACGCCACCTGTCATTACAATAAAACAATTAATAAAAAAATGAGAAAATCTGTCATGTTCTTTGGCTCCAAACTTAATAGAAACGAAGCCGATGAACAATACCTTCCCTACACCAACCATCGACACTCCAAAATGTTCGGTACCATTACTTCTTCGACTGTCAACAATCAAAATAATTCTTTAAATTTCACATTACCAAGAATTATAAATATTGACATGAAGGATCCTCTGAAATGTTTTGAATTTATTAATAATTGTGAAAAGGGTGCATTTAATGTCCATGCCATTGAATTTTCACACGTTCAATATTTATTACAACAATTAGTTTGCAGTAATTCGATTTATAGTGAACTGCCAATATTTCACATCAAAAAGCAAGATAGAGTTTCACTTGATTTATCAGTGAGTGTATCACCATCGACTCCAATTTCGACATCTCGAAGAGAAACAGTCAGTGGAAGTGGTGGATATTTAACTCCAAATTCACCAAATTTTGATGATAATTCAAGTTCGAGTAGTTTGGGGTCAACTTTTACTAATCCTTCAATTCCAAATAAGGATTTACCAAGTATTAGCACTGGTTTGAATGAGAGGAAGGTTTCTGGATTTGGAAAGTTGAAGAAAATATTTCAGAAAGTTTCGCCTTCAACTCCTTCTTCTCCAAAAAAGAAAAGGGCAAAAGTTTTGAAGAATTTATTCGATTCCATGCCTAATTTGACTAAATTGACCATGACAGAGAGTTTTGCAAATGAGATGGAGGCAGATTCATTTGAAGGTTATTCATTTGGTCATTTATGTGAATATTTAACAAGTAGTGCAGTAACTTCCTTGACAGGTTTGACAAGTTTAGAA